GGCAAATCCGTTGATCAAGCTTTCTTTCTTATCTTGCAAAAGTCAAGTGCATAACTTCTCCCGTACTTGCTGTCTGATATATAGTTGCCTTTAGAAACACCCCAGTTCGAACTTCGAACCCTTCCTGGAACAAAATGTTTCCTCCTCGCAAAAGGTTAAGCGTAAGATCCATAGAATATGACAGTATGTAGGACAACACTTGATAATTATTTCAACCATATCAACAACACTGATGTCAGTGTCAGTTAAAACAAGCCGTCAGAATTTTTATAAAATGAGGGCAGTAGTGGCAGTCGAATATGGATTTCAGGCCCCTGAGCATAGCGGAAGATGATCAACCATCAATTAGATATTCAAGCAAAGAGTGCAAGTGGCAATATGAACAGTTTTCTAACAAACATTTCCTTTACCCCATATTGCTCAACGTTAATGAGGTAACGTGAAATTTAGCAAAAAATTTAGCCACGAGAAGAGTAACCTACACCAACTAGAGAAAATAACTGCCTTCAAAGTATGTCATCACACAGAATAGAAAACTACGTTGATTGATTGACGATAGTCCTTAATCTCATAGGATCATGTACTAATGATTGATACACATTAGCCTTGTTAAAGCTGTCTCAGATCCATTTTCGACAATAAATGTGAAATTTCAAAATATCAGCCCACAGGTTTTGCTTACCTGATTATACACGCCATGGAAAGGAAAAAAATTCTATGATATGTTGGAAAGTAACTATAAACTTCACAGCATACAACCATGCCACAAATAACACATCGCACAAATAACACATCGCATTATATTGACAGTAAAACTATACTTTCAGTGAAAACAAACTTGTTCCAATCCCAAATGACGAACAATAAAGTACCTTGCACAGCCTATCTTCATTTTATGTAACAAAATTATCCCAGCGTCTTCAATCCAAATAATGTTTTGGCCAAATAAAACATGTGCTGTCACGAGTTCATGATGGGCTGAAGGATTGTCAAAGGAAATTGTTTATTTACACCAGAAAATCAGGATACGGCTTACTCTCAGCGCTTAGTAACTCCAAAAAAAGTACAAACTAGAGATATTATCAATCAATTTTAATGAAAAATGGAAAAAGGGAACATCCAAATGGAGAGAGCCATGGTGAAGGAACGATGGCAGGGGAATAAGAAACATCCACGAAAAAAGAATGAAATTTGAGTCACCGGGGACGGATTTATCTTCAAGGCAAGTACATGAATCGCAATATTAGCCTAAAACAATCTCTGAAACACCAGGAATACCAACTTCATTCCTTCGACTGACAAGGTTATCGTTTCATCTAAATTCCTCAAGTATTTAGTCACTCGGGAGCAAGGTTGGTTAGTGGTTCGTCCTTGTATATGCCATATATGCAGTGACAGCAATGTTCGGTGAATAGTCCAATATACTTCAGCCTATACTGAAAAGCTTCATGAAGAACTTAATTGCCACGATGTCCAATAATAATTTTTTACAATTGGGAAACTTTAAAGCGAATAGCCAGTAACCCCAAATCATTCTATCAGTAAAGTTATCCAGTAAGAAACTATCAGTGAATTTCAAGCACACATAAAACGATAGAATGGAGCGAACTGTCATGATGCGGGAAAGAGAGTGTAGGAGTTCCTTAATCAGAGTAGAAATATCAAAATCAAAATCACATCACCGCATTGTTTCCGAAAAAAAGTTCTCACGATCTACAACATAGCTATCCCAATAACTAATTCTTTTGAGTTCCTACTAACCTTCCAGGCTTATATATCGCTATCGTCACTATCATCATCCTCATCATCATTTCCCACATCATTAGCAATGAATTCTCCGGGATGAATTGTCCGCCTTCGAGTCCTTGACGGAAGAATGTTATTCAAATCCACCTCTGCAAGTGGGTCATCCGACAGATCACTGTCACCATCCGAAACAACTCCACCGTCACTGGAATCGTCGTCGCCGCCACTGTCGTCATCGTTCTCGTCATCTTCTTCTATCAATTTCCCTTTGCCCTTGTCAGCTGTCATAATCCCTTTTCCCTTTCGGTCTACCATAACTTCTCCATTGGATTCCTCGCCATCGTTGTCTTCATCTTCGTCCCCATCATCCTCAGCGCCATCGTGAACGAAATTACCGCCTTCATCGCCCCATCCTCTGCGACCGCATAGGACTCAACTTTTTCGACGTTCTCGTCAGTGACAGGAGAACAATTGCCACTAAGAACATCAACATTGTTATCCGAAATTAAAGAAGCCTCGTGATGTTTCGCGCTTCGCTGATGGGAACCAATGACCTGTGATCCGAAGATTCGAGCTTTGAGCTTTGCTCTGGGGACCGTGAGAGAATCTTCGGCCCGTTTTATATCAGGCTTACGCTTCGTGGGAAATGTTGGTCCGTCCGGGCTCTTGGTTTCGGCATGAATTCGGGTAGCGGGGTGAGAATGTTAGCGGTGAGGACAAATTAGGGTTTGGCGCGGGAGGAATGCGGTATCAGCACTGCCGAAACGAAGAGACTGTCATGACTAGGCTTCGAATTAGTGATGCTTGCCGGTGACCCTTCGTATTCTTTCGTAGCGTTTGATAAGTAAAACTTATGCTGAGAAAGTATTTCTTAGTATTACTTAGAGTATTTTTAAAAAAAAATTATTAAAATATATGTTTAATACTTTAACTTTATATAAAATTTAAATAATATAAACGATGATGTGGCATTTTAAAATATTATAATTTTAATAAAATTTTTGAAATGTTTTTTCAATAAATTTAATTAAAAAAATTATTTTATCTTTATTAATATTTGTGATTTTTTGTTCAATTCTTATAATTTTTTTAAAGTTGTGAATAAGGTTTATTATTTTGAAAACTCATTTTTTAATAATAAAATTATACTTAATACATTTGACTTTTTGCTCATTCTTGCAATTCACATAGCATAAGTTGTTATTTATTAAGTAAAAATTATGATTGGATTTATCTTTCAATGACAAAAATTATAATTGATAAGTTATAATCTCTTATTCAATTCTCATGATTATATAACAAATTTGTAATTCTTTAGATAAAAGTTATAAACAGAGTTTATTATTTTTAATAAGGATATAATTATCTTTTCACTAAAAAAGTTATTGATAGAGAGGTCTATAGGAACTTTTATTAAAATTATGACAATTTTCAATAACCAATTGTCATTTATATAAACTAAAAAAAATTATTTTCATTTTTCTAATTTATTTTAATTTTTTAATTTTATAAAGTATTTTTTTAAGTCATTTAATATTAACAACATTAGTTTTATTACAAAAAAAATACATTAAATTTTTAAATAATAAGAAATATCTCAAAATTAATATATAAATTTATTTTGTAAAAAAATAATATTATTGGCATGAAAATACTCTTTCAAAAAATTAACGGTGTTGGAGTTAAGAAACGAAAAATATAATTCATAAATTAAAATTTTATAGAAATTGAAGGACCAAAAATAATAATTTAGTCAAAACAAAATCAAGGACCAAGCGTCTCTTTGGTGGAAAGGAGGGGAAAAATTTTCCCTTATCTTGTTTGTTTGGATGAAAAATGAAAGGGAGCCCTCCACTTTTTGACATTAAAATCATATTTAATGGAAATGAGCTAGATTGAAAAACGTATGAGTATAATGAAGTTAATATTTTTGTTCTTTAATACGAGGAACTCAATACTCCATGGAACCCAATTCCATCAAAGTTAAGGGAGATGGGTTCCTTGCTTTACTTGATAGAGCCAGGTTCCATTTTCTCTCGATGGACTTGTTTGCCCTTGCCTTTTCCCTCCCCTCATTGTTCTATGATTGCAACTCACATTTTTCGCCTTTGGCTGGTGACAATTGTTCTCTGCAAATGATGATGGCCCTCAATCAGTAAAAGGGCTATGATTCTCCACCAATGTGAACTTAATGACAACATGCTAAACAAATATAAAAAAAAATCATATTTAATTATTCACGACAGTCCTCTACCTGCGATGCATGGTCTTAAAGATCTTTGACAACTATGAACACCATATTTTGTCCGGACATTTTCTTTTTAGGATTATATTTTTGAAAAAATAATTAATAGAGATTAATTTTATTTTAACATAAAATAATCTTTTGTTGCTTTGGATCTTATTTCTTTTATTTCATTAAAAATGACCAAAAATATAAAAATACAAAAATAAAATTTAATCCCCTTTAGGATTATTTTTTAAAAAAATAATTAATAGAGTTTAATTTTATTTTAACAATAAAATAATCTTTTGTTGCTTTGGATCTTATTTCTTTTAATCATTAAAAATCACCAAAAAATAAAAAATAAAAAAATAAATTTAATCCTTTTTTAAGATTATATTTCAAAATGATAATAATAATAATAATAATAATAGTCTTGCTTAAATTTTTAAAATCTCTACCAAATTATCCCAATCATTTAAAATATTATGAGTCAATTTTAAAAATTAAATTTCTCTCTCTTTCTCCTCCTTAAATCTTATTTTTCATTTAAAAATATACATGTGTGTGGTGTGTTTTAATTTAAAACAAGGAATAGAAACCAAAAAAATCTACAAGGCTGGGTACGACCAAACACAAAAAATTCACACCTTCGATGCAGAAAAGAAATAGAACATGCAGAAGCAAACACACGAAACACAACCAAAAGACTTCAACCTTTTGAACAAACGCAAGATGAGAAGGAACAGAAAACTGCACAGCAAAACACACATGAAGCAAAATGCACACGAAGACCAAACACGACAGAAGGAAAAGAAAGCTAAAAATGCAAAAAAAAAAAAAGCAGAAAGAGAACCAAGACACATGCACAGTAGAAGGCAAGAAAGGAGAATGCAGAAAGACCCTGAAAGCAAGCTGTGATCACAGGAGAGATGGCAAACAACAATGAATTGAGACACACGAGCAAAAGAGCAGAAGAGAGGCACACACGTATGCATGAACGAGGCTTCCCCTTTTAAAAATACAAGCACATATGAGAAGGGGGATGGTTTGAGACGGAGAGAAAAACAAAGCATCGAGGAAGAAGGGGACGAATCTGAAATTGAGAAAAAAATGAGAAACAGAGATGGAGAAGAGGTTCGAGAAAAAAAGAGAGAATAGAGCAAGGAGAAGAGACCGAGAAAGGAAGCTTTTCTGAGAAGAGAAAAAACAGAGAATAGAGAAGAAAAAACTAGACAAAAAATAGAGTAGAAGGACCAAGAATAAGAGAGCAAAAGGAGAAGAGAAAAATAGACAAGAGAGAAAAAAGACAGAAATGGAGTAGAAAACTGAGAGGGAGAGACTGAGAACGGATCAAAGACAGCAAGGAAACTGGAGGAAGGAGGGAAGAGGAAGACCGAGGAAGAGAAGAAAAAATAAGAGGAAGAGGAAGAGAGAGACTGAAAAAAAGAGAGCCAGAAATGTGAGAGAGAGACGGATGAGAAAGAGACCGAGAGAGGGAGAAACTGAAGCAAAACCAGAACATAACAAAGAAAAAAATAGAGAGATCGAAATGGAAAGGGAGAGAGGAAGAAAAATAAAGCATAAGAATGGAGACCGAGAGTAGAGATGGAGTAGAAGTTGGAGGATGATTGAACAGGGAATGGAACCGAGAGAGCAAGAGAAGAACGCATAAACAGTAGCATGCATGCACACATTAGTTTGTAGACTGAATGAGATCACCATTTTCTTCTTCCCTCAGTCACACAAGTTCTGGATGTTTTACAAGCAACAAAGAACCTAAAACACGTTCAAAACTTGAGGTTGAGACGATGAAAGCATCGTCTTGAGAGGAAGAAGAATGCAAGCTTGGAATTACAAGTTGCTCAGGTAATATTTAAGTTATATCATTTCTTTTAATTTGAATTAATTGATGAACACACACACACACACACACACATATACACATTAGTAGATATTATGAGTGCGGACTGATCCAGATGTAATTTAGGCATTAAAATATTTAGGAATTAAATGTTTCGATATAGAATTTAGAATATATTTCAGAGGTGTTTGACAAAATAAAAAAAGAGAAAGAGCTTGTGAGAATATTGTTAATAATTTGTGAGGTGATCGTGGTTTGAAGCCATGTCTATCATGGCTATAATCTTGCTAAAAGTTTATGAATTTTTCTAAGAATGTATACTCAAGTCAAAATAATAGTGAATTATCAAAATAGTTTATTTTTCTATTCTTTCTATAGCTTTTATTGCATGAATTGTTTAGTTAACCACAATATTATACACCAACTGTAATATTTTGGCTATCTTTTGTCATGTGAGATTTAAGAATCTCCGTAGGCACTTAGAATGATTTCATACCGTGTAAATTAATAAGATTTTACAGGTATGAGGATCAGTCTTGTAGATATTTATATGAATTCTGAAGGTCCAATATTAAAATTAATTTTCTTTTTATAATAAATATTTAAGTCTCATGTGAGATTTTAAGAATCTTCGTAGAGAATTAAATTAATTATCTTATTATATGATAATAAATCCTCGCAGATATCATGATTTTCAATTTATATGTATTACATAAACAATTTTTGTAAATAAAATAATAATATTTTTTTATGATTTTAATTAATTAAATTAATAAATTTAAATTATAATCACACTTTCTAATTAAATCTTTTAGTCATGTGAGATTTTTGAAACTTCGTAGACCTTTAGGATAATCATACTACCGTGTGAGTCAACAAAGCTTCATAGATATAACGATTAAAATTTCTATATTTAAAAATATACGTCGCACAATTATGCATTAAAATATATTTAAAATGAATATTATTTAATTCTTTATCGTGTGAGATTCTGAATCTCTGTAAATATTTAAGATAATCTTGTATCGTATAAATCAATAAGGTTTCACAGATATGAAAGCAAAACTTATATATTAATATAGGTTCTAAAAGCCCATCATTAAAATTAAATCTCCTTTTATAATCCAAATTAATAACTTATTTAAGTCCCATGTGAGATTTCAAGAATCTTTATAAAGACTTAAACTAATCATATATTGTGTGGGATAATAAGTTCTTGCAGATGGAGTGATTCTCAATTTTTATAATAAATAAATAATTTTTGTAAATAATCATATAATAGACAATTTAAAAAAATTAATTAATCAAATTAATGAATTTAAGCTGTAATCATATTTACCAATTATATTTTTTAGTCATGTGAGATTTTTGAATCTCCATAGACTTCTAAGATAATCGCATTATCGTATGAGTTAATAAAACTCTGTAGATATAACAATTAAGTTTTTAAAATATATATAAATCATATAATAAATTAATTAAATTAAAAGATGTGTTTAAATAAATTTAATTTTTTTATTGTGTGAGATTTTAGAATCTCTGTAGATATTTAGAATAATCATATTACCATATAAGTCAATAAGGTTTTGTAGGTATGATGATTAAGAGCCTATAAATCATATATTTACATACTTAAACAAATTATTACTAATATTTAAAAATATAAATAAATTGTTAAATTCTTTTATCATGTGAGATTTCAGAATCTCTGTAGATATTTAAAATAATTACATTATTGTATGAACCAATAAGGCTTTGTAGGTGTTGCACCTGGAAAATGTGATGCGGATGGCGCGAGAGCGAAGGTTCTAACCTTTGGAAGAAAGACTGGAGGAATGAGAGTCGCCACCAAAATTTTGAGAAAAATCTCGAGAATTGTTTAAAGGTGGATAAGGATGGTTTGTGAATTCAGAAAAAAAGGTTCGAGAGTCGATTTAGTGTGGGAAAGGTGTTAGGCACCCCACAACACCCATTCGTGAGAACGGTTACCTAAAGTTTGTTGTGCGATATTAATATAATTTTAAAAGTATTTTAATTATCCCTTTTATATTCATGTGTTTAATATAAAAATGATAACAATTAAGCGAGCAATATTTATTTATTTAGGGGGAGGACTTGACTTAGAATCTAGTTCTGAGGCCTACGTACCTTGTGATAGAGATCAAAGTTCACGTAATTTGAGATTAAAAGTTTATTGGTGAAAATATTTTTTTAAAAGAGAAATTAATTAGAAATAATTCACCATTTTGCAAATAAAAAAATTTTAAAATTTTTGATATGTGTGTTTTAAATTATAAAAGTATTTTAATTTTAATTATTTTCTCAATTTTTGAATTTTTGGAAAAGAAAAGGATTTAAAATTATTTTTTATATTTTATGATTGAGAATTTAATCGCAGTTCCAGTAGAGCCTTGTTGGCTCATACGATAATGCAATCATTCTAAATATCTACGAAAATTTCAAAATCTCTTACAATAAAAGATTAAATTTATTTATATGTTAGTAATAATTTATTCAAGCACGCATATATATATTTTTAGAGAATTTTAATCATCATACCTGTAAAGCCTTATTAATTTTTACGGTAATATGATTATCTTAAATATCTGTGGAGATTCAAAATCCTCACACCATAAAGGATTAAATATTATATATTTTAAATATATTTTAATACATAATTGTATAATTCATATTTAAATATAAAAATCTTAATCGTTATACCTGTGAAGCCTTATTGACTCTCACGGCAGTACGATTATCCTAAAGGTCTACAGATATTTAAAAAAAAATCTCATATGATCAAAAGATCTAATTAGACAGCATGATTGTAATTTAAATTTATTAATTTAATTAATTAAAATCATAAAAACATTTATTATTTTATTTACAAAATTTATTTATTTATTTACCATATAAATTGTGAATCACGATATCTGCAAGGATTTATTATTCTACACAGTAATGTGATTAATTTAAGTTTATATGAAAATTCTTGAAATCTCACATGAGATTTAAATATTTATTATAAGATTGATTCTCATACTTGCGAAATCTTATTGATTTACACAGTATGAGATCATTTTAAGTTTAAATACTTACGGAGACTTAAAATCTCACATTACAAATAAACCATAAGTATATATATATGTATGTATATATATATATCTATCTTTTTTTTCTTTTATAAGAAAATCATGACATCATATGGGAATATAAAGCACTATGATGTATATGTATGTTATTAGCCATGATTATCGATATGTATGAATAAACTACTATAAATGAACAAAGATTAATGTATAGCATGTCACCTCAACCATGTCACCTCACGTTGCATTATTCTAAATCATGGTAATTAAAAAGTTTGAAAGGTAATTTGAGAATCAACCATGCCAAACTAAATGTACCTTAGACATATTGGATATCTTATAATACCACTTTTTAATGGCATCCACAGTACAAATCCTTCGAAGCTCAGAGTCCTTCCCAATTCAACAAGTGCAATCTTCAAAATGGTATACTGGTCAAGAGTGCTCCTAATCTCATGGGTCAACATTCTAACATGCCTTCCAAATTCTTTTTGTATAAGGGTAAGTCCCATCTCCCTATTGAGCTCCTCAACCTTGTTCTTGAGAATCAGCTCATGAGTTTTTGCACTCAACAGTTTAGGAATAATGTGGACAACCATTAGTGCAGTTAATAAAATAAAATAAACTTAAAGCACTTGTGGTCCTCATCCGTCTGTTAAAATTGTGAGTCTGTGCCAGTAATTTTCATGATCTGTTCCTCTTGGTCATATAAAGAGCAGATTTACCTACCCTAATAACAAGCCTGTGTCTGGAAGAACCGGTAAGGAATGTGAAGGAACTTCAAGAACCTCAAGCACTCATGTCTCCACGGGTTATCGAAGGAGACAACGTTAACGCCATTGACGAAAAAGCCATTTCATGATCTCCTCATTTGTTCTCTTCTCTTCTTCTCAGTCTCTTCTTCTTTTCTGCTCTGATCTTTACTCTCGGTTTCTGTTATTCTTTCTCTCTTATTCATGCTCTTTTTTTCTTCCATTTTTTCTTCGTCTGGTTTCTGTCTTCTCTTTCTGTTTTCTCTGTCTTTATTTCTCCAGAAAAAAATCTCCCTTTAATCTCTATCTCCTCTCTCCCTCAATCTCTATTTTTTGCTTCTAATCTCCGTCTCTTCTCTCTCTTCAACATTTCCTTCATCCTCTGTTTTTCTCCATTTTTCGCTCATCTCTCATTCTCTATCTCATTCTCATTATCCATCCTTTTCTTCTCTTTTCTTTCATCTCTGTTTTCTCATTCGATTTTTATGTACTCGGTCTCTCTCCTCGGTTCTTCATGTGTTCTCTGTCTCTCCCTCCTCCAGTCTTCCTCCTCTTTTCTAACCCCCTATTTTTGGTGCTCTCTCTTACTCTCCGGTCCCCCCGTCCATTTCCTCTTCGTGCATGCATGCTGTGTTTTTTTAAGATCTGTTTTTCCTTCCCTCTTTCTCCCCCTCCATCTCTCTCTTCCTCTTCTGTTCTCTTTTATTTGTCTAGCTCTCCTCCTCTCCTTATTCCTGTGTTGTCTATTTTAAAATAGAAGCAGGGAGAGTTGCATGTAAAGAGTTTACGTGCTGTGCATGTGTTTCGTGTGTGCATGCTGCTGCACGTGCATCTCTGTTTTGTTTCTGCTCCTTCTGCTAGCCAAAAGTGTGTGTACAGGTTCTCTCATTTTTCTCTTCTACCGTGCACGTCTTCTTCATCTCTTTTGGGCTATGGTTGTGTTTTATCTCCAGAAGCTTTTCCCTTTTTCTTTGCATTCTGTGTGTTTTCTTCTCATGCGTATGTGCTACTCTGTGTGTTGTTTTTGATTGTGTGTGCTTTTTTTTTTATTATGTTATGGTTATTTTATTTTTTTATATATTTCTTTCTTTATTAACCTAATTTTTTATAGTTAATTTAAAAAAGTGAACTTTCAAAAGTTAATTCTCAATATTTTGAATAGTTGGGATAATTTGAGAGAGATTTTAGAAGATTTAAAAAATATTTTGATTTTGTTAAATTATTATATTTTTTTAAATATAATCCTAAAAAAGGATTAAATTTTATTTTTATATTTTTATATTTTTTTAATTATTTATTATTATTTTTACTAAATGAAAAAAATGTTCAGACAAAATACAGTGTTTACAGCAGGTATAGCAGTTAAAATTTTCAATCATAAAACATAAAAGAAAATAATTTTAAACCCTTTTCTTTTCTTCATTTCAAATTGAGAAAATTGAGAAAATAATTAAATTAAAATTACTTCTTGCAATTTAAATACACATATCAAAATTTTAGAAAGTGCTTATTTGCAAAATGATGAGTTATTTCTAATTAATTTCTCTTCAAGAAATATTTTCACCAATAAATTTTTAAGCCCAAATTACGTGGACTTTAATCTCCATTATAGGGTACGTAGGCCTCAGAATTAAATTTTGAGTCAAGTCCTCCCTCATAAGTAAATAAATATTTCTCACTTAATTCTTATCATTTTTATATCAAACACATAAACATAAAAGGAATAATTAAAATAATTTTAAAATCATATTAATATAGCACAACAAACTTTATGTAGCCGTTCTCACGAACAGGTATCGTGGGGTGCCTAACACCTTCCTACACTCAATCGACTCCTGAACCTATTTTCTAATTTCGCAGACCATCTTTATCCTTCATTAATCGGTTCCCCGAGATTTGCCTCAAACTCTTGGTGGCGACTCCTCGTTTGATCCAGTTTTCGCTGCGAAGACTGGGACCTTCGCTCACACGCCGTCCGTGTCACATTTTTCGGGTGCAACAACAACCATCACTGTGATTCTCCACCTAAAACACTACCTTGAAGAGGGCAGCCATATTAGCATTCATTCGAGGTGAGGCTAGCAGGTTTGAGTTGTGATCTCCATTTTCTCTTTTGATGTATATATCTTTATCTTTTTCTCCCCTAAATTTGGTCCATGATTTTTAGATCTAGTTATATGAAATTTGATCTTTGCAATCTTATGTTGAATGGGTTGACAATTGAGTATTGTAATATTTTTCTCATCCATTTTTCTTCTTGAATAATTATTTTTTCCCTCTAATGGTGGTTTTTCATTTTTCAATGGTTGTTTGGTTAGGAGTATTTTGGTCTTTGCAGAATATAAATACAACATTAATTTTTTTATCTCATTTTCATTGACATGCCAAACATATTTTTTCCTTCTATTTTTACTTGAATAGAGGGGATTTATAATTGGGGAGATTTGGAGGGGATTCCTCTACCCCCCTTGGCTCCCTCATCTCTTGTCCCTTACCTTTTTCTTTTCTCAACTAAACATGGTATAAAGGTGAACATGTATTCTAATAGAGATTTTAACATAATATTGAATCAACAAATAAAGTTACAATATGAATAAGAAAGGAAAAGTTTTTTGTAGTAACTAAAACAAGATAAGCAATAGCAACTCCCTTTTGCAATATTTTAATTGTTGAAATGCAAATGTTGTAAATACCAGTGCCTATTTTAGTTTAAGTAATAATTATTTTTCTTACAACAATGACTAAAACAAGATCACAAATAACAAGTTCCGTTCTGCCTATTTCCCTTTTCTCGTTTTTATTTTAAATTGAGGGTATTATAGTTAGGCTATGAAAAACATTAATGTTGGAAATAACTTAAGGGATTTGAGAAAAATTATCATATTTTATGAGAACTTACAATTTTTTTTATATTTCAAAGAATTTTTTTGACAATTTTCCCAACAAATTATCGGCAATTTAAAACGATAAATGAAATATATTGACACACAGGCTTGACAAATGAATTAAGGAAATTAGCGAGTAAGATGATAGTTTATTTTTCAGTAAAAAAAAAAGATGATAGTTTATTTTTCTATCCAAAATTTTGAGATTCCATTGCCGTGGATAATTTTAAATTTTCTTATCGCAAAACAAAATTTTGAATTTTCTATTCACGTTACACGATAGAAATTGAATAGTAATAGCAACAATTTATGTATATTATGAAAGTTGGATCCAATTTAAGTATACAACGCAAACAATAAAAAATTGAAGAAATATAACCCAAACATATAGACTTTATTTGATTGACTTTTTTTTTTTGAGCAAAGACTTTATTTGATTGACTTGATCATCATATTTATAACTTAATTACTTCCATTCTATCTCACCCACGGAAATTAAAAAAAATAAAAATTATTAATTACATTTAAAATTTAATAATTTTTTAATTTTACACATACATATATGTCTTTTCATCTAAATTTAATGAAATAAAATGAAAAAATTATAATAAAAAAATAACATTATGTTTTTATAAACATGATAAAAAAATCTCTTTTCCACTTTACAATAAATAGGACGACAAAAATAAAGAAATACTCTCCCTATTAAAAAAGTAAAAGGTATTTTTTAAAAGTTAAATATTTAAAAATATAAAATATTTTTAGTGTTTTAAAATGTAATTGCTGTGCTATTTTGAAAATATCTATAATAAATAAATTATTTTATATTTATTTAAAATTGAAACACACTTTAAAATAAAAGTAAATATGAAAAGATAATATTAGTTTAAAAATAAATAATCATTTTATTAAAAGTCAATTTTGATTAAAAATGTGTTAAATATTTTTAAAAGAAGATAATAGATAATAACTGTCTAGACCTCCTTTTAAGTATCATTTTAAAGTTTGTACAGACACACAGTATTGTTCTATCTTCTATTTGATTTATTTTGTATCTTTGCCTTTCCAGCACTAGCATCTTTCCAATTTCATTTAGATTTTTTTCACTTGGTTTTCTTAATCTTTAGCATTTTCACGTTGTAAATGCACCTTATTTAATTGTAAATATTTTTTTATTAAATTATAAATATACAATATTTGAAACTCAAAAATATTTTATAAATGTTATAAAACTTTTTGATAATAAATTCTCTTTTCATGAGATCAAAATGTAATTTTCTCTTGCTTTTTTCATCCATCCAAGCGAAGCCATAACTAATATTAATGAGATATTTAGACACGGTGAAGAACAATTTTTAGCAAAAGTCGAACTTCTATTCCACCGGTTAAAAAAAAAAAAAGGCACACATTGTAATTGTTTCGATCAAAAATCAAAATCAAAATTCAAATTTAAAATATATGCAAAGCAAAAAAGATTAATTATGTCAAGCCTAAAGACTAATTATTCCTCCTCTCTTAAAAGAAGTCCTACATTCGAACTGATTGACATGTTTATGTGCACGTGTAAGTGTATGCTTCCCCTTCCTATGAAAAAAAGGTTAGGTTGGGGTGAAAAAAAGAAGAAGAAGATGCTCAAGCCTATTATTAAATTATCTTAAAATTAATTTTCACAATCATGGGATCTACGAATGTGATCTCTAAACTTCTCATCCATTTGGAGTTGGTTGGGATTGGGAAGAGTCCCAGCCGCCCCATTCCTGGACCATTCCCAATTCGGCATTCCCATCATTGTCTGTCGTTACCTCTCTCTCTCTTCCCCCTTTTCTCCTTTAACGGTTCTGAGTTTCGGATTCTGCTTTATCGTCGCCGGCCAGCAACCGGCTCCTGCCATCGAAGCATAGACTCTTCAAATTTTTAGAAACCAGATCCGCTTCTATTTCTTGTTCTCCCAACCTTTCGTCT